AACCAGTAAGTACAAAACAAAAAACAGGGTCTCTGCATCAGAACAAAGCAATGTCAGCAGTTTTCTTCCAAGAGTGACAAACTTAATTAGTCTCAAGCATCTGCTCCTTGGCTGCTCTGAGCCCTTTGCACTGTGAGGAGAGTTCAAATTGCACGTTTTCCTTGGTCAAGCTCAGACCAGTGAGGCTCACAGTCTGCCTCAGCTTTGGAAATATTTTGTACCTTATTTCATGGCTGTCCCTGGCCAAATCTTGGTGATGGTAAACCTGGTGATGGTAAACCTGGTTTTATGGTTAAAAGCAGCAGACACTGTCTCTTGTGAGAGGAACACTGTCCTGTATTTGCTATTGAAATGTGCTGCTCTAATGTCATTCCCTGATGGCTTTTTTGAACAAAATTAGCAAATATTGTATCTCCCATTTTTCTTATGAAAACCATTTGGAAAGTTGTGGCAAGGCATCTCCAGGCAGCAAGTCCAGTTCTTCTCATAGTTGTTTTCAAATAATACACATCTAGAAATGTCTCTAGAGGCCCTTCTCCTCACCAACTCTCCCAAAGCTCCTGCAGATGTAGAGATGGCTTTGCACAGCTTTGTTTCCCAGAGATCTCCAAATAGATGAAAGGAAGTGCTTTTTTCCCTCCAAGGACATGCTCTTTCTTGAGCTCAAGAAGCTTGACAGGACTACAATTACTTCCCTTGCAGATGATTGACTCTAGAAATATTAGTTTGAGGGGATAACCTCTGCAACATTCATGTTGTAGGTTTACATTCAGCATTTTAATACCCTGATATTTATTTCTATTTGGTCCCACACCCCAGTTTTGTGTCTAACTTAGTGTGGACAAAAGTGAGCTTCAGACCAGGGTAAAGGAAGCTCACTCTAGATAAGATGTGATTATAATAGTGGATGGGTGGGATGGCAAAAAGTGATGAGAGTGTAAAAGTTGACAGGGACAAGAAGAGTGAGGAAACCCATTAACTTTTCAAACTGAGAACTAAAGACAAACATTGCATTTTCAGCTCTTAGCAGATGATTCAGTAACTGTAAGATCAGCCTTGCTTCTGCCTGTGCCTGTCCAGGAAGGGGCATTCCTCTGGCATGAAAATCTCACTGCTCCCCTCCTTTCCTGCCAGTGAGCACAATGTAATTGAACCTAGAATGTTTTATTTCACAGACAGAAGAATAAGAACTCATTCCTTTGAGATGCAGAGGGGGAACAGAGAGAGAGATATGCATAATTACTACATATGCCTCATATGCATTTACATGTATGAGCATATGCTCTGAAAATGTAAACCTTTGTTAAAGGAAAAATTGAAGATGACAAATTTGTAATCGAAGATTTAAAATAAAAGAAAGGTGAAAGATGAATTCAATAGTCTGTTCACACTTAATTAGGAAATAGGATGCTATTTCTGCTAATTTTTCCAATGCCACTTGGATGTGTTGCAAGTAAATAATCTTACAGTGGCAAAATAAATCACTGTGTTACAAAGAGCCCTCATCTGCAAACAAAATCAATCTATTTACCCTGGAGACACATACCTATGAAAAATTTAGGAGGTCATCAATCACGGTTTCTCTTTCCTATGTTTATAAAGTTGTATCTTTGGATAAGAATATTTCCACTCTTCTTGTAACAATCTAAATCAGAGCTATATATACAGAGAGGATCACTGTGCTCAGGTAGACTGCATCTCATTCCTAATTTTTGAAGTAATATAAAATAACTCTTCTGGGGCTGTTTCTGTTCCTTGAGTGTCTCTGGTAAAGTGATGAAATGACATCTCAATGTAAAAAAGAATTAGGCTCTAGGTTTAAATATACAGTATGAAATTGTATAGCACAAGACCACTGAAGAGCAATGATAGAGGCATTCATTTCATGTCAAATGCTCTGAAATTGTGCATACTCAGAAAGTTCAAATCTGTATTCTGCACAAAATCTTACACGGGCACATGTTGCTATTTTCCCATCACACATTAGCTGGTTGTTAATGGTATAAGGATCACTAGGTAACGGTACAGCAGCCAACGAAACTTATCATTCAACGATCAGACTTTTTATTGGAAACCAAAATACCATAATAAAATTCAAATAAACATTTCACAAGGATCATCACACAGGAGGTATCACATTAAGCCTACTGAAAAACCAATTCTCTGAGGTGTGTTTCACAGGCAATTGTGTCCCAAATAGTTTTCCATTAGCGTTGAGATTCAAGCCACAAGTGCCTTTAGTCCAGTTTCAAATCCTTATTAAGGAAATTTCTGGATAAGGGTCCTGAAGACAGCTTTTGTGTCACTTTCACAGGAAATGTTAACCCTTATTTGGGTCATTGGATCCAATGATCTCTTGATTCATGACCAAAAATCTTCAGCTGCTTGTTAGAAATCACATGGTCTAACTCCAACAGAGGAGTGGGGTCTGTGCCCTGAGCATGGGTAGAGAAGGAATATTCACCAAAGATACCTTGTACCTGCCTTTGAGCTCACGTATTTATTCACAAGGTTACTCATATATATAAAGCTGCTAATATCATGTGTGAGGCAGAGCAGCTTAATATCTATGAGAACCTTGTGAATAAATATGTGAAACGGGATTCTTTTTTTGTGCAAAAGGGCACTTTACCATGCTGTAGTACATCCCTAGGATAGGGACTGGGCAGCACAAAGGTAGGATCTTCAGCTTGCTTCTTTGTTTGAGCCTTCTATGTCCTTTTCACATGAAAGAATGAACTGAAAATCTTCCTGGGGATCAGCTTATTGCTTATTAGCCATGAAATCTGCTCACTTTCTGAAAAGTTCATAGTGCAATGTCTGGCTATTGCAGGTCAAAGAAAGATTAAACAGCCAATTTATTTTAAAATTGAGAAAGAGAAAAGTGAGCTTGATCTATTAATCAGTTTTTCACTTCCACCCAAACTATTAAATAACTCTGAGATAAAGTACTTGAATTCATTAAAGTCTCTGAAGACTGGAAAAGACCTCTTTTTAATTTTTCTTCTCTTGGTCTCTCAAAAATGAAATCCCTGTATTTTCTTAGGTGAAGTTATGGTTACATCCATTTTGGTAAAATGTTTAATTAGAGAATTAGAACAGATAGGATATTTCAGTTCAAATTTGTACTTTCCAAGTGATAGAAATTGACTTCATAGACAGCTGGGAGTTCTCAGGATTTCTGAGACACACGAGCTTCAGGAACATTTGCAGGATTGGCAAGCCTGGTATGATGTATCTGACCAGTGCTCTGTTGTCACTATAGTAAACAGAAACAAAATAATAAACAAAACCACAAGAAAACATTTTTTCTTCAAGAGACTTCAAAGTTCATACATCAAAGGGAAGGCTGCAAAGGTGCAGCATGAAAATCTAATGGTTTGTGTTTCCAGAGTTGATAAACATTGTGGTTTCTGACCGCTTGTTGATAGTTAGAATGAGGAGCATTCTCACCACCCACTCGAGCTCTTAACAGGTGCCCAGTGCAGGTACTTGGGCTGCATGATGTCCCTTCTCCAGATCACTATTTCTCAACCACATTCTAAAGCAGCCCATGTTGACAAGAGTAACCCTTAGTTTACTGGCTCACAATCTTTCTTATTTAAGTGCAATCTTATAGACAAAGCTGTCGTAGGGGAAGGACACCGGCAGGGATGTGCGGCTGCTCAGTACCCTTTCCAGTACAGGCATTCGCCTTTTGCAACCAGCCCAGCTGTGCCGACCTCTTGCCGGGCGGCGGCGGCAGCCCTTGAGCAGGTTCACCCCCCAAACCTGCGGCAGCAGCCCCTGAGCAGGTGTACACTCCCCAAATCTGGCGGCAGCAACCCCTGAGCAGGTTCACACCCCCCAAACCTGGCGGCAGCTCCTGAGCAGGTGTACACCCCCCAAACCTGGCGGCGGCAGCTCCTGAGCAGGTGTACACCCCCCAAACCTGCGGCAGCAGCAGCCCCTGAGCAGGTTCACACCCCCCAAACCTGCGGCAGCAGCCCCTGAGCAGGTTCACACCCCCCAAACCTGCGGCAGCCCCTGAGCAGGTTCACACACCCCAAACCTGCGGCAGCAGCCCCTGAGCAGGTTCACACACCCCAAACCTGCGGCAGCAGACCCTGAGCAGGTACACCCCCCCAAACCTGCGGCAGCAGCCCCTGAGCAGGTACACCCCCCAAACCTGGCGGTGGCAGCCCCTGAGCAGGTACACCCCCCAAACCTGGTGGCGGTAGCTCCTGAGCAGGTGTACACCCCCCAAACCTGCGGCAGCAGCAGCCCCTGAGCAGGTACACCCCCCCAAACCTGCGGCAGCAACCCCTGAGCAGGTGTACACCCCCCAAACCTGGCGGCGGCAGCCCCTGAGCAGGTTCAGCCCCCAAACCTGGCGGCAGCCCCTGAGCAGGTACACACCCCTAACCTGGCGGCAGCAGCCCCTGAGCAGGTGTACACCCCTCAGACCTGGGGTGCGCGGCGCCCCAAGCCGGCACCCACCCTTGTCAGGCCCTCCTCAGCTTCGTGCATGCCTCACTTTCAGTCCCGGTGGACTGGGGCTACCTGAGCAGCGGCACGGGGGAGACAGACCGGGGGAAGGAAGAGGCCCGGGCACGGGAGGCTGCCCCTCTGCCCGGCCGCCGGAGCTCCCTTCCCGCTGGCCCACGGCCGCTGCCCGCTGCTGTCGCTGCCGGCGGTGCCGCCCGCAGCGGAGGGCAGCTCTCCGTGCCCTGGGGGAGCGGAGCGGGGTGCCAGAGGCAACAAGCGGCGTCTGCACCTTGCAGCCGCACCCGCATCCCGCATCCCGATCCGCACCCTCACCCCGCGCCCGCCGCCGGGGCGGCCCCGAGGGCGCGGAGCTGCGGCGGGAGGAGCGGCGGGGGCAGCGCGGGGCCGCCCGCACCGCCGGCCCCGGGCAGAGCCGAGAGGCGCCGCCGGAGCGCGGGGCGGGGGCTGCTCGCCGGGGCGGGGGCTGTCACGGGGCTGGGACGATAAAACCGGGGGTAATCGCATTTAGGCAAATGAGGCTGTCTCGGCCCTCCCCGTCTCCAGGCATATAAAGTGGGGAGCGCTCCCGCGGCCGGCCAATGCGCCCGGAGAGCAGCGCTCGCCTTCCCCGCTGCAGACGGTGCGTGCGCTGCGGAGCCCGGCCGGCCGTGCCTGTGTGCGGGGGTCCGCTTGTCCTGTGCTTGTGAGGCGGTGTGCGTGTGTACCTCTTTGTCCCGGTCTGTATATGTGTCCTTCTCTGGGGGTGCCTATTCGTGCTTATGTGCCCGCACGTGAGTGCCTGGATGTGCCAGCGTGTTTTTGTGCCTGTTCTTATGTGCCTGGATGTGCAAAGAGATGAGTGTGCACCTCTGGACACATGTGTCTCTGTGTTTGTGTGTGTGGACAGCTACGTTCCTACGTGGCTGTGAGCATTTAAGGCGTGTAGCTCTTTGTATGAGTTTGTGAGCGGATGCATGTGTACCTGGATGTGTGTATGAGGGGGATGTACCTGTCTGCGTGTGTGTATTTGGGCAGGTGTGAATGCTAGACGTGCATAGACGTGTGAGGTTGTGCTTAAGTCTTGCCCTGTACGTGCGTGTGTGAAGGGGCACCGCTGTCTGTGTGTGTCTGTGTGTGTGTCTGTGTGCTGGGGAGCACAGCGAGCTGTGTGCCGCTGTAAGGGGTGTGTTTCTCTCCAGAGGGGCCGCAGCAGTGCGGGGGTGCCGGTGTAACCGGGCGCTTGCGGGGCTGTTGTGCGAGGGAGCGTGTCCCCAGCTGTGCCCGGCTGGCCGTGCCACTGCGAGCAGGGCTGGGCGCGCCCGCCCCGGCTGCCAGGGCTGCAACCTCTGCCCCCGCAGGACGTCGAGGCGGCGATGAGGCTCCCGCTGGCTTTCGCCGTGCTCCTCCTGGCCTCGTCACAGGCGTTGGGCGAGGAGATGGGAGCCACCGACGACCTCAGCTACTGGTCCGACTGGTCCGACAGCGACCAGGCGAAGGTGAGCCCCGCGGGTGGGGCAGCGAGGGGCTCGGAGCCGGGGGCTCTGTGCCGGGCCGGGCTGAAGGCGGTCCGCGCTGAGTCCCCGCTGTCGCCCCGCAGGAGGAGCTGCCGCTGCCCCTGGAACACTTCCTGCAGAGGATGGCCCGGAGACCCCGGCCCCAGCAGTTCTTCGGCCTCATGGGCAAGCGGGATGCCGGTGAGCCAGGCGGGGGCTGCTCACGCCTCTCCGCGCGTTCTTCTCCCAGTGCCTGCCCAGAACTTACACGGTTATTGCGCGGGATTAATGTGTTACATCTGTTTCTTAGGCTACCATGAGGGTACTTTGGGTTTGGCTTTTTTGCTTTGTTGTTTCTTTCAAGTTTTATATGAGATAAACTGATTGATTGGAAAAGAGAAGGCTTTAAAGTCCTAAGTGTGTACCTGTTACAACAGGTAAATCCCAGTAAGGGATAACATTATAGTATATAGGTCAGCAGATATGCCCTGAATCATCAAAGTGAGGAAACTGGTTGAGTATGCAATTATTGTTGCATTTTCTGCATGTTTACTGAACCAAGAATTGATCTAAGAAATTGGAGCTAAACTAATCTAAATTGTGTGGGTTTAGCTGAAACAAGTTTTTAATCTCTTCAAAGAGAAATGCAGTTGTAAACTATCACCCTAATTTCCTTAAGCAGAATATGGGTAAGTTAGTTCTTGTATCTGATTTTTCGAAGCATTTCAGTGGCATCATATGCTTATGCCAATCCTTTTTTAACAACTCTTTGTGTCTTTTTTCTCTTTTGTTTCCTCTTTTGATCAGGATATGGCCAGATCTCTCACAAAAGTAAGTTTAAAAAATATAAATATTTTAAGTAATCATTAGAAGATATTAAAATAGGGAATAGTGTATTTGACAGGATTATTTAGGAGGTGACTGGTTTCAGCTAGGGACTGGCAGCACCACTGGTGGAGAAATGATCTATTAAAGCTTTGAAACCTCCCCTTCAGTGCCACTGTGAGCCTGTATCTCATCTGAGCTGCTGCAAGCTTTGAGATTTCAATCCATATTAATGTGCGGATGTTGCAGTTCTCTCTTATTTCCCAAGGGGGGATTTTGAAAGCCTTTCTCATTGGCAAGGCAGGCTTACTGCCAGGCTCTGAGAGAAGCAATTAAGATGGCAAAATCTGGAAAATTAGAATAATGAATTCCCAAGTCCCCAAGAATGCTTTCATGGGTGTGCCCATGTCCTCACATGTAAGATACTGCATCTGTGCCCTCAGCATTGTCTGAGAATCAGACTCCTTCCTCACGGTAGGGGCTGATTGATGATGTGCTGCCATATGAAGAGCCATGTCTTGCTCCATTAATAAGTATGCCTTGCTCTGCTTCTTTGTAACACCAAGCAGGAAATGTTATCAACACTGATGTGTTACCTTGCTCTGCACAGTGGTAGTTTTATTTGATGAAATTATCTCATGATGTTTAAAGAGAAACGGGAAGATTTTGATTAAGTAAACATGATCTTATATTCTGTGAAACCTCCTCTGTCCACAGAGGCCAGCAACTATCCCTATGTTCTATTATCCACAAGATGCTTTCTCTGGGGTTTTGTATTGGAAGACCAAATAAAAAGCCTCATTCAAAGCTCAAATTACCAGCTGACTAAAGTAAAAAATTATAGTTTTCTGAAACTGCTTCAGCTTGAATTAATACATGCGAGGTCTGAGTATCTTGCTTGGTGTATGAATTCACCAAGCAAAATTTCTTCCAAAGAGAAACTTCTATGTTTGACTCAAAAGCCAGTTTAGATAAAGAAGAACAGTTCATTTGCGTTCCTTATAGTCTGAAACTATATCTACTACTATAACCTGATAGGTGCTGTAGGACTTTATCTCTACACTTCCAGTGTCTTGAGAATTACTAGAGGGACAGAAAGGTAATACCTGAACTTATAAATATTCCAAAAATAGAGCCAGACTGTCTAGCTCAGACGTGTCCAGACACAGAGTCCCATTGGCTTCCTCTCCAGTAAGGGCTCCATCTGATCTGTGAGGGAGGATTTTCTTCCACATTACAGAAATAAAACAACAACAGGTAGAAGAGATGCACCACACAGATGCAGGCTATACGAAGACACTGCCTTCTTGTGCATTTGCTCAGATCAGTAGGAATTGTACCAGGTAAAAAATAAGATTTGTACTGTTAGTGGTCATTGGTTTTCCATTATACTTAAAAATACCCCCAAAACCAAAGGTCTATCTAACCTAATGAGAAGATGTTCACTAACTGGCCTGTGCCTTGGTCTATCCTGTTCAGTCTGATTAGTCAGACTGCTGTTCATTCACTGTTGTCTGAGAGTGATGTGAATAACTGGTCTGTGATATAAACAGTTTTAGACCCTGTCTTCTTTCCTTGCAAGAACATGTTATTTTAAAAGCCTGCCTAGTTAAAATGTATTAAAACACCCCTAAACATATTTTTCAGGGCATAAAACAGACTCCTTTGTTGGACTTATGGGCAAAAGATCTTTGAATTCTGGTATGTATTTGACTAAATCTGATACTTGGTGATATACAGCCTCTTCATTCCATTGCTTCTTTGTTCTCTCCCAGTGGGTGGAAGAAGCAATTTTCATGTAGTGTATCCAGAGTTCTTGGAAAAAGAATCAGAATTTTCTTTGTTAACCAAGATATTTCAGAGTTCGCTTCACTTCAATGTTTGAAATGACCAGGCTGGTCTGAGCTGCAGGCAACTCAGGTAGAATTCCCCAGAGCACTTTGATTACTATCCTGTCCTTGCATGTTCTGCTAGTCCCCAAAATGCTATGAAAACAAAAAACCCCTAAATTTTAATGAGGTATCAAGAAAAATTTGGAGGCTGAAAATCCAAGGGTCATTTAACTTGTGGTCTAAATCCAGATCTCATCAGGTAAAAGGATATCTTCTCTGGAGACCCTTATTCCTAATACTTGGAGTAGAAGGTGAAAGAACAGAACTTTGCCATTAACACCACCTCATACCACAGATCAGGCTGTTAAACATTCACCGCCTCCTTCAGCTTTTGACTTCACCTAAAGAATTTTAAACTCTGAATGGGTACTGTGAATTTATTTTCCCATAGCATCCATACTGGACAGAATTCTCCTCTCCCCTCATATGCAGAACCCCTGAAAATTGGAGACTCCACATAGCTCTACCTTCCTTCCCCGTGCTCTAGGACTATACTGATTAAATCCCTCACTGTGAAGCATAAAGTATCAGTTGATTCTCCAGGATAAGAATTAAAAAAATAAAAAACCTAATATGTATTTCATGTCTCTGAAATAGTTCTCACTGTTTTGTTAAATGGATGATAAAAGTTAAATTACTAGCTGACACCTTTATATTATGTGGATACATGCTGTGATCTATATTCTGCAATTATGGTTGTCAGTAACTTTTATTTTCAATTAAACCCCCCTTCAAGTCTAGTAATATTGCTCTCTGCATTATTTTGCAAATTGCTACATATCATGAATAATTTTGTACAATTTTCTACAGTGGCAATAGCTATTAAATGCATAATACCTGTAAATATATCTGCTATCACAAAAGTAAATAGCTTGTAAGTAATAAATTTGGTTTGGTTTCCACTGGGATTACATTTACATTAATATCAGAATGTAAAATACAGAAAATGTTTTTAAAAATGCAAAGACGTTATTGCCCTAATTTCAAAATTGCTGGTATAGTCAGGATACTGTTATGTGGTGTTTCTGACAAAAGGGAATAATGATGTTTTACTCTGTTGGGCGATGTAACACAGGTAAAACTGACAGGTAAAACTAGAATTCACAGCTTTTCTGCCTCTGTAGGAAGGCTTGAGGGGGAAATGGTAAAAAGTTTTTTCTGCTCCACCAGAGGAGAAGATGGGTCTTAAGGACTGTGTAATCAAAGCAAGATCAAGAATAGTAAGTGTTAGGGCTACCCTAATTTCTCCCTTTTGGAAGATATTTAATTGGGCAGGACCTTTACTCCATGCTGTGGTTTTCTTCTGCAGAAAGCCCCTGAGCTCCCTGGTAATGGGCAGCAGCTCGTGCTGTCCCTCTGGGTGTGAGCATGTTTTTGATTTACAGCCTCAGGTGCCAAAGCAGGGTAAGGGGATGCTGATGTCTCTGTCCCTGGTCTGGGGACAGCCTTGCTCAAGAAGGTCTCTCTGGATTTTACTTTCATTTTAAATGAGCAAGAAGGAGAGATCTACCACTATTAAACATAAATATGCTACTTAAAACTATTTTAGCCTGCAGTTTGTCAGCATGGTAGTCTGAGTATGTCTGATGAGCTTGGCTCCTGCCACAGTGTACAGTAAAATTATCCCTGTGTGCAGGGCTTGTGGACAGGGAGAGTTTCCAGGTGCTGGCAAAGAGCTGACTGCACAGGAATGAAGGTGGCTATGTCTGTGCAGAAACCCTCTACCACAAATGGACCTGAATGCTTAGATCCCATCAATTAGATGAATTCCTGGGAGGTAGAGTGGCTCTGAGTTAATGGTGCTTCCAGCAACTCAGCAGATGAGAGGTGGAAAACACTGCTCAGACCTTCAGCCTTCTGGAGGACAGTGTAGTCTGAGGGGTAAAACCAAATCAAAGCAGCTCAGGGATGGGCCAGGAGCTCTGGTCTCTGGAGTCTGCTGGTGCCAGTTGGCTGCAGGTCTCTGACACTTCTTGTGCTTGTTGGTGTTTATGCAAGGCTGTACCTTGTGCTTCAATCTGTTTCGTTTTTTTGCAGGGTCCTCTGAAGGGAGCACAGCACAGAATTATGAACGGAGGCGTAAATGAGGCATTCCCGTGCGTTATTTATTGAACTTCATTTGTTCTAATGGCCAATGCAGTGTAATATAAACTATCCACTGTATGAAATAATTATTTATTTAATAACTGAAGGGGTTTGGTTTTTTTTGAGTTGTACATTCAATAAAAGTATTATTTTTCATATTGTGGCAGTGACATGTGTTGTGTAGGTGTGTTGTGGTTCTGAAAGGACCAGCAACTCTGGTGATGTCTCACAACAAAGCACATGTTTGGTATGACCTGTAGAGTTATGTTTACTAAACAAGCAAGTATTCTTTTGTTCATTGAAAGTGAGTCTATCAGCTTCACAGCTAGTGCAGAACAGAACTGATGTTCAGTCTAGTGCCTCAATTCGTTTTCATGATTTATTATGTGCTGTAATTTCTGTATCAAAAATATATATTTGTATCATTGCAGCATGTTTTATGTTCTGTGGTTATGTATCAATATATTTTAAAAAGGGGGATTGGTAATGTTTGAATGGGAACCCAAGGTCTTAATTTCATAGTTTGGAATTTTATGATAGCAACATTTTAAATAAAAACTACTCTGGGGCTTTTGCAACATACTTCCTTTTGTGCTAGTGATGGAGTTATTTCCCACGTTGGTCTGGAATGAGAAATAGCAACAGTGGTCTGAGAATGGAAAGAAATATCAAATTATTTTCTTTTTGCAGGGAGACTGTGAACTTCCTCATGTGTGTTTGGTGAAGGTTTGAGGGATTTGCTACTGGAGATAGGAGTTCCTGGGATTGCTCCAGGTCACACAAGGTGCCATCCCTTCTAAACCTAATGGAAATCAGGAAGCATGTTTACTGAATGCAAAGAGCAGGATGTATCCCCCAGCTCCAGTAATTTGCTGTGGAATTAACCCAATATTGTAGGTTTGTTATTTGAAAGCCAAACTCTTAATAAGTTCTATCCCTCAAATTCACAATAAAAGTACCCAAAGTGCTTTTATTAAAAAAAAAAAAAAAAAAAAGTGTGTGTGAATCCATGCAATATAAAAGGAAAAAAAAATTACTGTTATTATCTTTTAATTAAAATATTTGATTGCTAGATATCCAGGATAGGCCTGAAATGCTACATCCATCTCACCAGATGCCAAGGCATCTGGAGTTCTATCTTCTTTCTCCCTTCTAGGGGCTATACTTCTCTGATGCTATGATGCAAACTTTCATCGCAGATGAATCATCAATTAGAACAATCAGTGTATCCAGACTAAATTTAAAACTAAGTAATACAAAGGGATTCACTGCTTGTTATTTTCCAGTTTGGAAATGAGTTTGTACACATCAATTTTCAAGGTTACCTGAGGCATCATCCCAATACCCCCCATTAGGAGCAGGTGGGTGCTGGACCTCACTCCTTCTAGGTTAGAAGCAGCACCTAAGCCTGCCCATGCTTAAAACAGATCCCACTTTCAGCTAAGTAGAAGCCAGATCAAGCAAGGTGGGGGGCTGCATGGTGGGAAAACCGAGGTGGCTTGTGGGAGGGACCACACTGATGTGTGACACAGTGGTTGTGCTGGCACTCTGGCAGCTCTTTGTCTTTCCAAGGCTAATTTTCAGGCTAATAAACTTCTGTATGAACTCCTACTGAGCTCAGTGAGGAGGAGAAGCTGACTGCTGAGCTAGCAGCACAGCAAAAGGATTGTGGAAATCATGTTGAATAATGCTCAGTGAAGGGTAGAAAGAAAGAAAACTTCAAAATGCTGTTACCCTTGCCTGGAGGACCCAAATGCTCACAAGATCTCACAGTCTGTGTGTGCTGAATTTTGAGACACAGAGAGGAAAGAAAAGGCCCCACCATTCACTCCCTGTAGCCTGCACATTTCAGAAACCTTCCTGCAGAAGAAACCACTGCAAAGCCCACAAATATACATGGGCTTTAAAGGTTTGAAAGACAGCACAGGTACTAAGTAACAGCATCCAGTAAACAGATAGGACTGAATTTTCTAGAAAAAACATAGAATGCGTTGGGTTGGAAGGTGCCTTTAAAGGTCATCTAGTCCAACCCCCTGCCATGGACAGGGACACCTTTCACTAGACCAGTTTGCTCAGAGCTCTAACCAAATTGACACTGAACACTTCCAGGAATGGGGTATCCACATTTTCTCTGGGCAATGTGTTGTAGAGTCTCACCACCCTCATTGTAAAGAATTCCTTCCTTAAAACCAATCTAAGACTACTCTCTTTCAATTTAAATATCTGATCATTTTCATGCCCATCCTCTGCAGTTGCTCCAACAGGTCCATGTTCTTCCTGTGCTGGGGAGCCCAGATCTGGATGCAGCACTCCAGGTGGGGTCTCATCAAAGCAGGGTAGGACAGGATCACCTCACTCTCCCTGCAGGCTGCCCTGCTTTTGATGCAGCCCAGGATGTGGTTGTCTCTCTGGGCTGCGAGCTGGGTCTTGTTGAGTTGCTCATCCACAAAGAACCCCAAGTCCTTTTCCTCAGGGCTGCTCTCAGTCCATTCCCTGCCCAGCCTGTATTTGTTCTTGGGTGCCCAGGTGTGGGACCTTACACTTGGCCTTGCTAAGCCTCATGAAATTCACGCAGGTTCACTCCTTGCATCTGTCAAAGTCCTCGGTGGCGTCCTTTCCCTCAAGCATGTCAGTGACATTACCACAATTTACTCTAGAAGGAAAAGCTGAGCCTCTCTCATCAAAATAGTCTTTTACATGTCAGTCTATTGAGTGGTTAAATCTGGCATTTGAAGCAACTCCTTTTAATTTCGGGTGGCAAAATAATGTCAGGGACTGTGGGGCTGTGCCTGCGCAGCAGGTCCTGGGCAGAGGTGGAGGTGCATGAATTGTACACAACTGAAGGCATCCAGTCCAGATGTCTGTTCCTGCCACAGACTCACTCCCAACATCTCCCCACAACAATATTTGCCCTCACAGGCATCCTGGGATCCTGGAGACACAAAGAGGAATTTTGTCTTTTACCTGCCTTTAGTCTTAAGCCGTATAGTCTATAGACTATTGAGTACTTCAAAGGGAGTTTTAAATAATTTCTGTGGTCTTTAATCTCCCTTTTAGGGCTCCATCAGCTTTTAAACACTTTTATGTATTGGACAGCATTGCCTGCAGCCCCAGGTTATTCCTGCCTTGGACTGCTGGGCAGTGCCCACTCTCCAGCCCCACTGCAGGCTTTGGAGAGGCTTTCACTAAATCCCTCACTGTCTCCACTACAGCCAGCCACAACTGTGACACAGACTGACCTCTTTTTGGTGGCAGCAGTTTGACATTCATCATGTTGCATAAGCTAATCAATAACACTGCAGCAAAGGCATCTGTCAGTAAAATACAAGCAAGCTTTAAATAAAGCAATACAATTCTTTCTAGGAAATCAGCACAGAAAGTAAACCCAATGCTGATAATTGTCCCCGCTGGGAATGCTACAGGCAGTTTAACATCACAGCCCACTTCCAACAATCTTAGCCCTCTTTTTGCTTATTTTTTTCCCCTAGAAATACATCAATCATCTGCACTGTGACATGTGGCTGCTTTTCTGGTAGGCACTGTCTCCCCTACACACAGGCACTCCCCTTCACCCCGACAGCAATGCTGAAGACAGGTTCTCTGAAGCCTGTCTTTCCCACGAGTGACACAGAGGGCCAGCAGCTCGACCCATCATCTCCATCTCGGTGGTGTTGCAGGGAGACTGGTTGTCCATGGTGGAGACGCAGCCAAATTTAACCTGGCAAGCCATATCCACAGCAATTGTCCACAAACCCTGTCCATGAAATGGGGAGCTGGGAGAAGGGTCAGGCCCCTCCATGCCTCATTTCACCTGGGGAGCTCAGGCTCTGCAGCACTTGCCTAATTCTGATGCCACAAGCATGTGCTTTGTTCATGCCAGGAGACTGGTATTTTTTCAGCATGGTCCCAACCAAAAGAAAACAAAGGATCTGGAAATGTCTGGGCATGGGGATCTTGTAGGAACCCAATTCCTAGCCATCCTGAGCTAGAGCAGAAAAGCATCAAGAGGTTTTTTGAAAATTATTAAAGCGAGTCTTTAAAATGCTGTTTGTTCGGAGTATGTCAGCAACAGCTCCTTCAGAGCTACCAGCAGCCATTACTTAAATGCAAACTTTGTCCCTTAAACTATGTCTCCTAAATGATGGCTTACTGCTTTATCATAAGAGATACCAAGCAAGCCCCAGTGCAAAATTTGGTAATGCCAAATGCTCTTCTGATGAGCCCAAGCAGTTCCCTATAACATTCCACACTGCATTGACAAACATCTCAGAGTGACAGGACGAGAGCACACAGTGGCTCCTTCCCTGGAGCTGTAGTGTGTCAGTGTACAGCCACCTCTAGTGCCAGATACAGCCACATGTCCTTGTGTGAGCTGCAAAGGAGCTCACCTCCCTTTACAGAAGATAACTGGTACTTAAAGAGTAGCATTTTTTTAAATTTTTGTTTTTGGTGTTAACAAGTGAACAAATATCCTTGAACCTACATCTTTCAGGGAAGAAAAAAAGACAGTCTCTGCATTATTCTTTTAATACTTTTGATAGAGACTGAAACAATTGTCAGCTGGAGAGCCTGTGTGAAAATCATTATGATATTTATTAAAAATTATCACTGCTCCATTCCTGATAGATATCTAATTTCTGTCAGAATAAACCATCTCAGAAACCCCATTTTAAAGAGAGATATAGAGTGTGTGCAAAAACTATCACCTCTTGTTTTCTACATCCATCTCCAAATTAAACAATGTTACCACTGAGTGCATATGGAAGAAATGAAACGTGAACAGACTGTTAGGCAACAAAACACTTTATCTCTCATGGTGCTTCATGCTCTCCCAGAAGCCTGGAGGAAGCCCAGCAAGGTGAGATGGCTTGGCCAGAAGTAACAACAGTGGCTGAGCTAGAAATGCAATACACACCATGTAGCTAACCAGCCCCCTCAGTGCAAAGAAACTTCATTAATTATAAAGAATAATGTTAAATGCTAAGAAAATATTTTTGGGGTTAAAGAGTATATTTTCTGGCTTTTTCCTATCTAAACCATTTCCTACATTTCTATTTCAGCAGCATAGCTGTAGAAGAGTTAATACACCTGCACCAACATATCACAGAACAATTTAGGTTGAAAAAGACCCTTAAGATCATTGAGTCAAACAAATGTAACAATGGAGACATCACCCGAAAGCGAGAGAGAGTGGAACTGTGTGAAGCAGGTAAAGAGCTGCTTAAATTTGTGCCTTATATTCTCAGTCACAACTGTGACTGAGAATATATCAGTGCCAATACATGTTAATACACCTTCAACATTTTATTTTCATGAACTAATTAGCATTAAAAACATCTAGCTGAGTAACAGAACACCTTTAATCACAGATATTCAATTTTGGCACATAGAAATGCTTTAATTTTCACTGTTATAACACTCAGACAACAATAGCCACATTGTGCTTGTGTGTACCAACATGCTCTGGAAGCAAACCTTGCCTGGAGAAGATACACAATAATTACTGAAGAAATATATATATGTGGTGTAGTTATTCTAAGACTGAATTTTAAAAAATTATAATTCAGTGAATTTTAGAATAG